AGTTCTTATTTTTCACTTTTGTTTATTCTAAATTATAAAGTTAAAAAACAATTGATTATTTTTGCCTCTTCCTCCGAGAAAGATGATCAAATTGTTAAGAATTGGGAGAAAACTGGAAAGATTAGAGGAATCGGAGAAATCTCATATTCTATTGAAAAATGAAATTGACTATTATAGCATTACAGAATACACGGAAAACAAGTAAATCTAAATCAATGAACACGAATAGTAATGAATTTATATGTGTCAAAACAGACTCCAATAATCCTCTCAACTTCAAGAAAGCATCCAATTTCAGGGGTTTAGTCATCACATTAGCTAACTGTTCTTGTGTGCCACAATGCACCAACTCCACAGTGCCAGTCTTTGTGAGCTCTCGAAGGAAGTGGAAACGCACATCTATGTGCTTACTCCGACCGTGCATTACTGAGTTTTTTGAAAGCTTGATAGCAGAGCTATTATCACAGTGAATAATAGTTGACTTGTCTTAATTCTGATCCAGCTTTTCCAACCCCTTTTTAACCATAATGGCATGCACATGAGGCTGCAACTATGAATTCTGCCTTTGTGGAAAATAGACTACTATTGGTTGTTTCTTTGATGACCATGATACTACTCCAGAACTCAATAAGAACACATAGCTTGAAGTACTCTTTCTCTCATCCAAATCTCCAGCGTAATCACTGTCTGTGTATGCAACAAAATCATCATCTCCTTCTTTCCGATGGAAAATTTCAAGCCCAGTTATTCCCTTCAAATAACGTAGTATCCTTTTTGCTGCCTGTAAATGAAGCTCAGTGGGATTCTCCATATATCTACTAATCAAACTCACTACAAACTTTATGTCTGGTCGAGTTGTTGTGAGATAATTAAGACTGCCTACAATTTGCTTATAGTAAGTTTTGTCCACGTTTATTCCATCTTCATCTTTCATAAGTTTGCATCCAGGGACAATAGGATTATGAATAGAATTACTTTTGTCTATTCTAAACCGTTTCAGCACCTCCAAAGCATATTTCTTATGACTTATAAAAATACCACTAGATTGTTAGATTTCAAGGCCAAGAAAATACCTCATCTTACCAAGATCTGTCATGTCAAACTCATTTTTCATGAAATTTTTAAGCTCTGTAAACATTAATTTGTCATCTCCAGTAAACATGAGATCATCGACATAGAGAATTACAATTAATACTTTGGCTTCTTTTCCTCTCTTGATGAACAAAGTATGCTCATAATCACACTTCTCAAAACCTTCCTTCATAAAATAGGCTTCTATACGGCTGTACCATGCAAATGAAACTTGCTTAAGCCCATAGAATGCCTTCTTTAATTTGTAAGCCTTCTGCTCATGTCCCTTTTGCACATATCCACAGGGTTGCTCCACAAAGACCTCTTCATTCAAATCACCATATAGAACTGCAGATTTCACGTCTAGCTGATAGATGGACCAACCTCTTTGAGCTGCAAGTGTTACCACCAAACGAATTGTCTCCATGCGCGCAACAGGTACAAATACTTCAGTATAGTCTACCCCATGTGGTTGAGTATACCCCTTTGCTACAAGCCTAGGCTTGTATTTGTTGACTTCCCAATTTTCATTGAACTTTGTCTTATAAATCCATTTTACTCCAATCTTCTTTCCACCGTCAGGTAACTCCATCAATTCCCATGTGTCATTTCTGTTTATTGATTCCATTTCCAGATCTTCCACCGTCAGGTAACTCCATCAATTCCCATGTGTCATTTCTGTTTATTGATTCCATTTCCAGATCCATGGCTTGCCTCCATTTCTCACTCTTCAATGCGTCTTTAAAGTTTACAAGATCAGTAGTAGTAGACATGACTAAGTGAGCTTAGTTATCTTCTTCAGAAAGATCTTCTTCTGTTGCATAGTCTCTCTGTAGACATGACTAAGTGAGCTTAGTTATCTTCTTCAGAAAGATCTTCTTCTGTTGCATAGTCTCTCTTCCAAACTAGTGGTCTTTTATTCGAGCTAGGAGATCTTGCTTCCGCCAAAGAGCTAGATGAAATATTTTTCTCTGCAGCTTCTATATCAGATTTGCTCCCTTCTTCATTTTCATCACACACATCTATTGCCTCCTCTTGATCACCCCGTTCCAAATCACACATAATGGTTTCTTCATAGGTCTTATCCCAGTCCCAACTCTTATCTTCCTCGAATACAACATCCCTACTTGTTATGATCCGTTGTGAAGTTAGATCATAGAATTTATAAGCCTTTGACGTTTCACTAACTCCTAGCAAAACACAACTCAAACTCTTATCATCTAACTTAGTTCTTTTACTATCAAACACATGAACATGAGAGATACATCCAAAAACTCTAAAATGCTCAACTAAAGGTTTGACTCCACTCCAAGCCAATGTTGGACTTCGATTCAGTACCTGCACAGTCCAGTTGACTGCTTCAGGCTAGAAACTTTTTGGAATTTTCCTTTCTGAAATCATACTACGAACCATATTCATAATAGTTCTATTTTTTCGTTCTGCAACTCCATTCTACTGTGGCATGTATACAGTTGTAAGTTGTTTTTTTTTATATCATTTACATCACAAAAATTGGTGAATTCTTGTAATGTAAACTCTCCTCCTCGATCTGTTCACAAGGCTTTAATAAATGAGTTTGTTTCCTTCTCAACATGAATCTTGAAGTTTTTAAATACAGTAAAGGCTTCTGATTTTTCTGTTAAGAAATAAACCCACGTTTTTGTGCAGAAGTCATCTGTGAAAGTAATCAAGTACCTTTTCGTGCTGTTTGAGATGGGTTTGATTGGTTCACAAATATCAACATGCACCAATGGGAGAATTTTTGAAGCTTGCCATGTGCTCATTTTTGGAAACGAGTGCCTTTGTTGCTTACCCACCAAACAATTTTTACACAGTCTCAATGGAGACTTGAGCTGTGGTAAACCATCCACCATCTTCTTTTGCTGAAGAGTCTTTAATCCTTTAAAGCCCAAATGTCCATATCTACGGTGCCAAAGTTGCTCAATATCTTTTGTGATTGTATTGAAACAAGTGGATGCTATAGGCTAAGATATAGCATGCAATATGAACATTCGATTCGAAGATATCTTTGTCTCCATGATTAAGCCTCTCTTAGGATGAAAACCCTTGCACGTTCCATTTTGAAACAAAATGGTAAGCCCCTTTACTTGCAATTTCCCAATACTCAACAAATTGTTCTTCATCTCTGGCACATAGAACACTCTTGTGATTATCTATATGATTCCATTCACTTGCAAATGTACATTACTCTTTCCTGTTACAACCATGCTTGAGTTGTTGCCCATCTTCACTGTATACCAAAATCTGAAAAATATTTCTTTTTCCCACACATATGATTGCTACATTCCAAGTCAAGAAACTACATATCTTCTCTATTGGCCTTATTCATATTCACGTAAACCGTCAGCAACATCTCTTCTTGAGTCTCCACATAGTTTTCCTCCTCCTTGCTTTGACATTTCCATTGAAAATGTCCTAGCTTGTGACAATTATAGCACTCCACTGTGGCCCTATTGAAGGTTTGTTTGCCTCATCCCCTTCCTCTGCCTCTAAAACTTCCACGACCTTGACCCCTTCCTTTCCTCTAGATTGTTCACCATGAGTGATCTTCAAAGCGTGTTCTTTTTCAACATGAGAACTCTTGTGTTGTTCATGCACAAGCAGACTGCTTTGCAACTCATCAATGGTTAAGATGGTTGTATCCTTGGAATCCTCAAGGAAACACACATAATCAAACTTGGGAGTCATAGATCTCAGAATCTTTTCAACTACTTCAACATTTCCTTTATTCTCATCATTTAGTTTCATCTTGTTGGCTATGCTAAGCGTTCGAGCAAAATACTCATTCACAGATTCTCCTACCTTCATGTGAAGCATTTCAAACTCCTTCTGAAGAGCTTGCAAATGTGCACGCTTTACCAGTTTTGAACCTTGATATTTATGTTTCATAGAATCCCATATGTTCTTTGTTGTATCCTTGTTGAGGATTGTCTCCTCGAATGATCTAATGCTTAAAATAGATAATTCTTTGTTTTCAAATCTTTCAACTTCTGAAATTCAATGTGGGGCATCTGTGAAAACGCTATCTTCTGTTGCTGCAGGAATCTCATTCTCCACCAAACCCGATTACTCTTTTGAACGCAAAAAGTTTTCCATGAGCATCGCCCAATGATCATAGTACCCATCAGATTTCGGAATTGCAGGTTGCACAAATGAACTCTCCATCGACATACTTTTATTATGACACACGTAAAAGACTACTGTTTCTAGTTTTAACTTGGCTAAGTTTAGGGCATGACTCTGATACCAAATGTTAACAAAGACATAAAATTAGAAAGATCAAAAGGACGGGGAGAAATCTCACATTCTCGGTTGAAGAATGAAATTGTCTATTATATAACGTAACACAAGGTTGGAAAAAGGGATAGTGAAAGAGATAAAAATAGATAGAATAGATGAATGTTGCAGTCCTTTATTATTGTCAACTGACTTGATGCTTAGAGGGTTACACAATTCCCGTATTTATAGCTTATACACTAGACCAGAAATAGTAAATCATCGAAATGTAGAAAAATTCAAATCTACCAATCTTCTAAAATCTTGGTAGTTTGAATATTTGAATTATATCTCAATTACATTTAATCATATCTTTTTGAATACTTTGAATCATATCTCAACACTCCCCTTGGATTCAAAGTTGCAAATGCCAACTAATCGTCTGAAGTAGCAAAACTTTTCTTTTGACAAAGCCTTGGTAAGTATGTCTGCTAGCCGTTCATCGGTGTTACAATATTCCAAGACAATTTCTTCATCTGCAACAAGATCACGAATATAGTGATGTCGAAGTTCAATATGTTTTGTTATATTGTGAAACACTGGGTTCTTTGTCATAGAAATAGTTGCTTTATTATCACAAAATATCTTTGTTGCCCCTTTTTGCTCTTGTTGAAGATCAACTAACATTCTTCTTATAGCCAAATAGCTTGACACACTGCTGAAGTTGCTGCAGCATATTCTGCTTCTGACGTTGACAACGCCACTATTGCTTGCTTCTTTGAGCTCCAAGTGATCGCTCCTGACCCTAAAGTGAAAACATTGGCTGAAATGCTTCGTCTATCATCTAATGATCCTGCCCAATCACTATCAGTGAATCCATATAGTTTAAAATTAGAGGATTTAGAATACCAAATTCCATACTCCATAGTTCCGGCAATGTAATGTAATACTCTTTTTGCTGCTCCATAATGAACCTTTGAAGGATGTTGCATAAACTTAGAAATAATACCAACAGGAAATGCAATGTCGAGTCGTGTGTGAGTTAAATAAATTAATCCGCCAACCAAGCTCCTGAACCTTCTAGCATCTGTCATTTCTGCTTCATCATCATGTTGTAATTTCTCATTAATATTCATAGGAGTAGTTGCAGGCTTACAATTAAGCATACCAAATTTATTTATAATAATTTTAGCATATTTTCTTTGTGAAATAAAAATTCCATCCTCAACTTTATACTTCAAGACCAAGAAAATAGTGTAATAGACTCATATTTGACATCTCAAATTCACTCATCATTTGAGACTTAAATTTATCCAAAAGAGAGTTAGAAGAGCTAGTGTAAATAATATCGTCAACATAGAGGCAAATAATGATGAAATCACTTTTACCTTCTTCACATATAAAGTAGGCTCATTCTCACTTCTCATGTATCCTTTCTTTTGAAAATACTCATCAATCTTGCTATACCAAGCTCGAGGGGTCTGCTTTAATCCGTATAGTGCCTTTCTCAACTTGTATACCTTTGTTTCTTTGTCCTTCTTTATGAATTCTTCTGGTTGTACTACATAAACCTCTTATTGTAAATCTCCGTTAAGAAATGCTGACTTAACATCAAATTGATAAACCGGCCACCGCAATTCTGCTGCTAATGCTAGAATAGTTCTTACAGTTTCAAAACGAGCAATTGGAGAAAACGTTTCTTCAAAATCTATACCTTGTTGTTGTACATACCCTTTTGCTACAAGACGGGCCTTATACTTTTGTATGCTTCTATCTGATGCAAATTTTGTCTTGAACACCCATTTCAAATTGATTGCATTTTTTTCCTTTGGTAAGTCAACACCCATTTCAAATTGATTGCATTTTTTTCGTTTGGTAAGTCAACTATCTCCCATGTTCCATTTCTCTCAATGGACTGCATCTCTTCTACCATGGCTTTCTTCCACCCTTCTTTTTCAGCTGCTTCAAAATTCATTCGTTGATTTTTATACCAACAATTAGATTTTGTGTGCCCATACCTTCTGCAATGGTAACATTGTATGACATTCCTTTGTTCATTGAATTGTCTCTGTCCATCACTTCTCCATCTACCTCTGTTATCACGACCACCATGGAAGCTGCGAAATCCTCCTCTTCTATGACTTCTACCTGCTAAATGAATATTTTCTTTTTCGTTGTTGGTTGTCTCCTTCACCTGTTGTGCCTTTTCTTCGTTCCTTTCTGATGCTCTATTGATTCTTGCCTCATGGGCCTGAAGCGAGCCCATCAATTCATCAACGGAGAGTATGGATAGATCCTTAGCTTCTTCTATGGCAGCCACCACATAGTCAAACTTTGGAGTCAAGCTTCTCAACACCTTTGCAACAATTGTTTCGTTTGAAATTTTCTCTCCATAGGTACGCATCTGACTGACTATTGCCATTGCTCTTGACAAAAAATCAGCAATTGATTCGCCATTCGTCATGAGTAGAGTTTCAAAATCACGTCTTAGAGATTGCAATTTCACTGTCATGACCTTTGAATCTCCTAAAAACTCCTTCTGTAGAATTGACCATGCCTGCTTTGATGTGGTTGGCTGCAATTCGTGAGAAGATAGTCTCATGAACTGCTTGCTAAATAATGAATAAAGTCGTGGCATCGTTTTTCTTGGTTTCTCTTAGTCTCTCCTTTTCTTCTATTGTGGGTTCTAATACATCAACAAACCCGTCCCCCACCAAGTCCCATAGCTCCTGCGATCTGAGCAAGGTCTTCATCTTGATGCTCCACCACTCTTATTTCTCACCATTAAAGATCGGTAACAACAGTGCAGAGGAAGAAAATCAGCTACTGCCATTTTTGTTTTGTGAAAGAAAATAATCACTCGCTCTCGTGTCAAACGAACTTGGCTCTGATACCAAAATTGTTGGAAAAAGGGATAGTGAAAGAGATAAGAATAGATGAATGCTGTCGTGCTTTATTATTGTCAAATGACTTGATGCTTAGAGGATTACTCAATTCTCGTATTTATAGCTTATACACTGGACCAGAAATAGTAAATCATCGAAATCTAGAAAAAATTCAAATCTACTAACAATCTCCTAAAATCTTGGTAGTTTAGAATATTTGAATCATATCTCAATTACTCTGAATCATATCTTTTTGAATACTTTGAATCATATTTCAACACACGAAAAATAAGGAAATCTAAATCAAATAACTAAATCAAATCTAATTCAAATAACTAAATCAAATTTAAATCAAACCTAACATAAACCATCTAAGTCAAATCTAAATCAAACCTAACACAAACAATCTGTGGAAGCGTTCGTACCCTCGTGATGAAATATGGGTATCCCCACACAGATAATGCATGAGGTCCGAATATTTTTCAATTTTCATTATTATTTAATACAGTCCCGTTAATGTTCTATACATATCATATCATTTTTTATATCGTTTATTATTCATATCATATAATTTCTCATTTTTCAGTTCTCATATCGTACATGATTCTAATGGGATTATATTTCATGTCATCTATCATGACTTCATGTCATTCATATCATGTTGTATACATACAATTTAAGAGACATAACATAACGTTTCATGTTTTTAACATATCTCATCATGTACATCTCATACCATAACATATCACATCACAATATATCATATTATAAACAACTCAATTGATCACATTTCTCGTACCATAACATATTTCATATCACTTTCATATTATATCACAACATATGTCATTCACATGTCGTATCATGATCATATCATATCGTAAACACTTCGCAGTCAGATCGTTTCTTAACTTAACATAGCCTTAACGTTCTTATACATATTACAATCATATCGTTACATGAACGTACCTTAATCATATCGTTAAAGGGACGTATCTTAACGCTATCGTTCTATCAATCTATTAGAATCCAATCATTTTCTACCCATAACCTAATCGTATTCTTTTATCAATTGATCATGATCATATCATTTTTATCAATCTCTCATATCCATAGCACTCTGATACAAACCCTAACCTTAACGTTCCATGAACATATCTTACTCCTATCGTTACATTACATTTAGTGCATCCTTCTCGTATCCTATCTTAAACATATCATTGAACACATCGTACTGTAAGTATCATCATACAATTCACATATTATAACAATATTTTGAAATTTGTTTAACCCGTATTTCCTTAGCGTATTTCCTTTTCTTTTTTTCTTTCTATTAAACTGGATTAATTAACAGATGTTCACAAAGGTTATTGGTTTTTAATTTAATCTATTCATTTGGCTACTAATTTACTATAATTGGTATAAAATTATTAAAATAAACTATATAATTGCACAAATTTATGAGAAATCTAAGATATAATATTGGTTGTGATTTCCTAAGAATGAAATTAGAATGATTTAATAGATACCATAACGAAAATATCTCTTCATGTAAATCTATCAGTGAAGGTCATTTTCGATTGTTATTATATCTGACATTTTTTTTTTGTTTTTCTATTTTCTTTTTCTGTCCTGGTTGGTTGAGCAGAGATAAATGGGAAACATATGAGAAGTTAGTAGAGCAGGTGGGTAAAAGTTTTTTTAAAATTATTTTTATTTGTTTATCATTATTATTATTTTTGGGCCATTACAAAAAAATCTTTTAAGATAAAAGAAAGAAAAGAAATTATTCCTTTCCTAAATAATTATTTTCCTCTCATGCTTTTTAAAGATTATCGAGTATAAGTATGAGATAAAAGAGGAAAGTGAACTCATAATAGGAATTACAAAACATTTCATTTCTATCCACTTTTTCTTCTACAGCAGTGACTACAAGTCATTTTCAAAGCAATCAAACTCTAATCTTTAGGATTAGTTTATTTGTAGGGGTAAACAAATACTCTAGCAGAAGCAAAGCTGATATCCTAAAGTAAACTGCTGCAGAAAATGGATGTCATTTGAAATTTGATAAGAGAAAATTACCTTCTCTTCTAAGGGCGCTTGCAGGGCAATGTCATCAGAGTGTCTTTTCAAAGGCAAGGTACCCGCCATTCCCATCCTTCCAAGGACCAGCTCTGTTAACCACTGAAATTTCGTTAAAAGAAATAGAATGCAATCAATTTCATCTGAATGTAATTGTCTGAAATCAGTTGAGCTATGGCCAAACCTAAGGGCGGACGAGATCTTGATATCGATAACTGGATATAAATGTCACAAGTAATACAGGTATTCGAGAAATAATCGAATTTAAATTTGTAACTATTAGATAGTACAAATGCAAGATATAAAACAAACGTGTGATCTTCTAGGACTATATTTCGTTTCTTCTTAAACTTTATGAGGTTCCTTTCGTGTTCATCGCCCTCCTGCATGTAGGAAAAACCAAGAAAAGCCTCGGGCGACAGTAAGTATGAAGCGTGTGTATCGTGTTCTTGTGATATTTTGATTCATGTAAATCTCTACCCCTTAAAGCTTATTCTCATTTAGGGATCCAGCAATATCAGCATCGAGCGCAGTCCAATCAAGTTCAACTCAAACCCCATCCTGGGGGGAGATAATAAATTCCTTGAACTTTATTCCTCCGGCCTAAACAAAGTGTAAGTTGAAGAGATTTCAGTCTTTGTAACCTGCATAATGGAGCCGAGGTTAAAAGAAATCAATGACAGCTCTCCACGTTCTCTGGGATTTAAAGCAACAAGAAATATTTTACTAGAACTATATCTTCAGCTTATTTCGCCAGGATTATTTCAATTCAGGTCAATGCAGACTGAACCATGAACCTTTATTAAGAGTGAAGCTGGAATGCCTTTTGAGAATAGCTTCTATATGCACTTTCCGGACAAGCATTATCAAAAATTGCCTTTGAATATGTAACCAAGCACCATAAAATTTATTTTCTTTTGCTAAAAGTAGTTTTTATCCTTCTAAAAGCCATCTCAAATTCACACAACAATTTCACTTTACTTTACTCCAAACAAGGATAGTGAATACGCTAACCTCGGCAGTACGAGAAAGTCCAGTAGGAAGAACAGAAACGAGCGATGTCCAATGAATTGGATCTCCCAAGGGATCAACAGTGTTGTAACTGCTAAGAAGAGGCGCAGTTAAGAATGGAGTCAAGGGGAACATATTTCTCTGAAGTGGCGATCCACCACTTGCTCCAAAAGCAACCCCATATTTCTCATTGGGATCACCTCCATGACTTGCATGTGTTTCAACAGCTTTCCCATGATCTATCTTGCTCACAGTGTTTTTATTTTCGTTCTCATCATTCTCATTGTTAATTTCCTCTAATTTCAAAGCTTTCTGCTGCAAACTCTTGTAGGCTGCTGACCGTGACAAAATACTTAAAGCAGAGACCTTCGAAGCAACCTTCTTTACCCCATGTAATGTACCCAAACAGGGCATCTCATATGGCTCTGTGGGGCAGGTGGTCTGTCCAAGAGCTTTGAGTTCACTGTCAACTTCTCCAACGCTACTATGTTTGTCTTCTTCTGACAACTTCGATCCAACACTGGACGTTCGATTTTTGTTGGGCCCCCACCACTTAATGTAACTTGTTAAGTCGATCTTCCTTTCAATGCAGAAGTTGTGGATGAATTCGCTTACTGTTGCTTGATCATCCCCGGCACCTTAAAGTACATTGGGGGGAAAGCACTGTTTGTTATTCACATGAGAGAAATTCTTGTCCTCTTTAAGTGTAAACTCAGAAATCAAAGAAATTCCAGTAGAGATGTGTCCTTGAAGCTAGAGACATGGTATAATAACAATTTTGGAAAACTCACCATAAATTATGCTGTTGACACAATCAGGGCCTGACATACGACCGAACAGACTAGTATATAAAAGCAGCAACAACAGTTAACACAGAGATCAACAAGATGCGGGACATGTATAATGATACTATTAATTTTGTAAGAAGACTTAAAGTGTGCATCATGTCTATCCAGGACTCTATATGAAGCCACAACAATAATTTAACTACTACACCCCAAATCAAAATTTCAATGATAGAAAGAGCATTTGCAAGTTTGAAAGAAAAGCTGAACAGAAAGCAAAATAATTGATTCAAAGATTTTATTCTACCTCAAAGGATGCTAACAAAGAAATGGAATCAGTTGACAATAGTAAATTAGCAAGATCTTAATGTGAAGGAAGCAAATTACACTGTGATGATCAGAAAAGGGGTGATCCAACCACAAAGACATATAAAAGAGATAAATAAAAAAGCTAACCAATTATAAAAAAATGATATGAAAGCACAAAAGAAGGGAGGGAAGCCACGCCCTTGGCAAGGAAGATTACCAAAAAAAATTTCTTCCAGTTGGATCAAAGAACGTTTATACTATAATGGTTGATCGGTGTATCAAGTCTGAAATTTACACTAAGAGAGCCACAAAATAAATAGTATCAAAGAAGGTATTAAAGTTCCTTTTAAGAGGTTGAAGGTTCTATGGTTCCCCCTCGCACTAAAGATGGTGTTAAAATATTATCACTGGCCCAATAGAATCAAGCCCAATAATTATACAGAGTCTCATATATAATTTAAAAAAATGATTTTGGTATTTTAAGAATAAAGATATCTAACTTGAAAAAATGATTTAGATATTTTCAGAATAAATTGTTTAGCTTCTATTCTCAACAGAGTGCAGTAGTTTCTACTGGAGTGTCTTATAATCTCTTTTCCGGTAATCTCTTCTCGATTGGTCTTAATAAAGAGTGTGAGTGTATTCCACAAAGAGTTGTGTTCATCAGGTGGTTTCACCAAGAGAAGGCTCTAATAAATTGAAGGCAAAGGGTCTCGTTTCCACCTTGACACAGATTCATTAATAACATCAAAAGTACCCTTCAATACACAGCATTTTATTTAAGACCATGGCAAAATGCAAGTCTTCCTGAGTTACGGCCAAAAAATTCATGTTTGGTCAATAAAGTTTGATCTTATCCTTTTTAGATTTTCTTCATGCTGTGTCTAAGACCATGTCAAACTCAACCAAGGTGTATAACCTCTCCAATCATGTTCCCAGCAACATCCAATTCCAGTACTCGCCTAGCTTTTCCTTGTGGCTTAAAAAACAAACTTAGAAATCATCTCCTCTCGATCATTCGATCATTATTATGATAACAAAACCACGAAATCAAAAATGGAAGTCATAATTTATTCTGTGGCTCGGCAATGTACCAACATGTCTGACTCTAAACCTTCATCCACCCCTACAGAAAGCATAACAATTTAGATTTGCATAGACATGATATTTTGTATGACTCCTATTGTTGGGCTGTCTTTTTGAATGCCCTAAATAAAAGCTTGGTTTCCATAAAGAAAATTAAAAAGATAAAGGAATGCATAATATGATAATTGTTTTCATCATATGAATACTCAAAACAAAGTGTTAATCATATGAGGCACTAAAACGTAACATTATAACCTATAAATTTATGAATTACCAAGAGGACCCAGAAGAAGTCGACGCTTTATAACATTAAAATAAACCACATAAAGTTAAATACAATTAACATTTTAGTGAGGGGGAAAAAACCTCGAGAGACCACGATATTTAGATATTCCCCGGGCGAATCCACTGCTCTTTCTGCAAAGTGTATAATTATATAAGCAGCAGCAGATTGTGTCACCAAAAGATGTTTCAATAGTTTCTACTTACCTTCTTAAAGACGCAAGATATTCCTCTCTTGAAACAGTCTGCATTTCTTCAAGGTCCCGAGTATAATCAGTCAACTGCAAAATGCAGTTATTCCATTTCTTATTACCCAAAGAAAAATCAATCAGAACGAAGCATGCATGAAGAATACTGAAAATACTTCTCCAAATAATAAAAATACTTTTTCCAGAACTCTGTAGGGCAGTAATAACTAGAACCTTCATATTTTATGTACTTTTCAGAAGGTAGAAAGTGACGCACAATTTAAATTTTCAACAAAATGTAGTTTGTAACTCTGAACTTTGTAAGACCAAGCATCAAAACAGTGGAACATATGCTTCAAAGTTGCATAAAAAAATAATGAGAAATATAGTCGTCAAAGAATAAATTGGGATTAAATGATATCTCACTGGAAAATTAATAAGAGTTCCAGGACCCCAATATTTTAAGGCTGCCAAATCGTATGCCCTAGCAGCTGCCTCTTCTTCATCATATGCTCCTGTAAATTTATGTTATTCATTATTTTAAAAAGTGTAAAGGGAAAAGATCCAGTCTCAGTCAATGTTAAAAAGAATGCAGAGGAAAAGAGATCAGAATAGTAACTTACCCAGATACACTGGAATGATCAATCATATGCCCGTTCCATGCACATGTTAAATAGAACACAGTGTAAGTACGATATCACATGCATATAAGTAATTGGTTTCACACCAAGATTTGTATGAGAAAGAGAGACCTTGCTTTCCCTTCTTGTTCTGGTTCTGGTTCCAGGTACTTTTATCCCAAAGATGAGCTTCATAACGACCAGTCCATCTATGTCTAATATCATCAAACAATTCATAGACGCTAGTCAGTAGAGCAAAAGATAAGGAAAAAGAACAGACTACATCACAAGCAACGTCAGATAATCAAATCGCACTAAATAAATAATAAGAAAGCAATTTTTTTATAGTCAAACAAACAATTGATCATCCTATGACACTAATACGAATTGCCCACATCTACTGACTTGATACGATACCTAATGAGTAGGCGGCTTCCAAAGAGTGATGATTTCAATGCCCAATACGTGTATATTTTCCACTCTTATGTGTCCAGTTCATAAAACAGCCCTATCTGACCTCTTAAACTCAATAGATATGGTACTATATATCACACATGCGGACAGATCAATACTATAGCAAAATGCCTCCTCCGTTTAGCTCCAGATAAAATGCAGTAAATTATGAAGCCATTTCAACGCGATATCGGTTTCAAAATTCCATTTACTGCAGTGGCCATTGGCTCAGGTTACCAATCCTTGGCCTATAGTAACAAAATTGCCTTATATGAACACAGACTCACCTCTTTTGGTATCGAGTCGTAAACACAATCCGGGCAGTGAGCAAGAATTCAACACTCTTCTGGTTCTCTAATTTTGGAGAATTTATAAGCTAATTAAACTCTTCCTACTTCCAAAAAAAAAAAGAAAAAAAGAAAACAGAACTGTTCATTTTATGAGCAATCAGACACACTACTAACTAGGAAGCCGCGTAGTAATATGAGAATTACCTAGTGACTCCGCGGTATATGGAACTCCTTTTCCCAGCAGCACATGGAGGCATTTTACTGATGCGCTCTTTGGCAGTGCAACCTCGTTCTTTCTTGGGTTTCTTCAACCCTCTGTACAGTAAAAGCTGATCGTTCGCCAATACAACCTCGGAAGACTCCGGCGTTCCTCCTCCAGCAGCAGCAGCGCAAGAAGCACCGGGTTCGTGTTTGAAGGCAGGATCAGACGACGAGGAAGCCATGGGAAAGCTGCAGAGAAAACCTAAACCCTAGGGGGAGAGAATTTGGGCGAAACGAGAAGAGAGGGAGATAGAGTTGGAGTGAGAGTGAGGGAGGCAAAGCCTGGATCTGGTGGACTTTGATTGACCACGGAAGGTCCAAACTAGAGTTGGAAGAGAAAATGGTAAAATGGTAAATTGAGAGTTCGAAAGTGGCGCAAACAACCAGGAAAAAGAACCGGGGGCTGCAACGGCTAGCATGGGGAGGAGGGTAAAATGGTAAATTGATAGAGTTCGAAAGTGCGCGTGATGATCACGTGAGGGCCCAACGCCACTTGTCCGCTTTTGGAAAAGCCAGGTTGGTAGCAGTGGAGTAGGATGTTATTTCCCCTATTTTTCGTATCCAAATTAACGCTTCTTTTTTGAATGAAATGAACGCGATATCCATTACACTATATTATGAATGAAATGAAGTGTCATGTGTCAAATGTTATGTCTTACTACATAAAGAATGTGATGGATTACGTGATATTTGTCATGTATACCTGATACATATATGAAATATGTTATATTTATGGATGAAAGGAGAAAGGAAATGAAACAAATGTTATGTTATGTTATGAATGAAAATCATAGGACTTCATGCATGCATGTATGTCATGTGCATCGGGATATTTTCCCGTTATGTTATGTTAGTGAAAATCATAGGACTTCATGCATGCATGTATGTCATGTGCATCGGGATATTTTCCCGTTATGTTATGTTAGTACTAATGCATACTTTCGATATTTATGTTCGCCATGATATCACGAGGGTCTTTCCTTTTTTGAGGCGTTTGGTGACCAATGTATTGTGTCCGACCAAGTCAGACCTAGGGGGTACTATACAAGTCCGCCTGATGGGTCCATGTATGCGTACGTGGGCTGTGTGTGGCAAAGTATCATGCATCCAACTCTACTCGAAATTGGAAAGAGCCTAAGATCATGTTACAGTTATAAAAGATAGGTCTCATACATGTATTATGTGGGATTGCTTTTCTAAGCTCAAGAGTGGGATGACGAAGTATTTTATAAAATATTCAAGTCACGTGCTACTCTTATATTTTTCAGGTAAAGTGATAGGCAACCCTAATTTTTAGCCCAACGATCCAAACTTTTGTGGACGCAAAGAATCCTTAAATAAAAAAATTAACACCTTTTTATACAAAATTAGGATAAACCAATAAATAAGGCTAGAATTAGATTACCTCTTATCAACAAAGAAATAAGGCTAGAATTAGTTTTTATTTTTGTTAGGCAGATTTCATTAAACTAATTAATTTTATTATTTTTTAATTCTATGATCTATCTCTATTTTTGAGATAATAACCGACCGCTCAAAAAGTGTTATATTTAGTTGTCTTTAGTTTTATGATAATATTGAATTATGTTCGAATATTACCATTCTAACTTGTGATTATAATGATGAAAATTTTGTTTATTTGAATGATTATAGATTGATTTTATTTATTTGTGAATTTTTAATATCTTTTATCTAATTAAATAATTATGAAACGTGAATAAATATTTTTTTTTAAAAAAATTAAAAAATTAACCTAACAAGCCCACCTAAAAATTTTTAGGTTGGGTTAAGTTGGGTAGCCCTCCAACCAACCCAAACTTTTCCCTATCTAAAAAAAATTCACTCAACCCAATTCAACTCATATACTCCTTTAAAAAGTTTAAAAATACTCAAGTACCTCATTTTAAAAATATTCATGAACCTTTAAACGTAATATTAAATCTAAATTTTTTTGAAAAAAAAAAAAAAACTTAAGGTATAAGATCTCTGAGAGGTCAAAGTAGGGTACCCGAGAATAATTTTACTCATATTCTTAACTCCAAGTTGCTCTTGTTTGGACATTTGAGAGCTCATCTCCTTTCGATTTCTTTAGCAAAAACACACCTTGGTTTGCCCTCAAACTAAAGGTATAAGATCCATGGAACGACTCATCATATTTAAGCTGAATTTTTTAGTCAAAGTTATGATATTCAAACTCGAAAGCTTACCGAAAGTCAACCTATGAGTTCTTTGCTTCCAACGACTTGGAGTTCTTTGCTTCTAGCGACTTTCAATTTTCATTTCCTTCCCCAAAATTGTTCTTTCCTTGCTACGAAGCTATACAAACAAGCCTCAAAGGATGAGCTTAAACGTGGGAAAAGAATTTCTCGATTTTAAGAAATTTTGGCCGAAACTAAGAAATTGAGGTCCTTTTTCTTCAATCTCTTAATAAAACATCTTATTTTAAGCTCTAGAGATTATTGTTAGAGGAACGACAAGCTAATTATTATTGCTAAATAAAAAATGCTCAATTTCAAGAAATTTTTACTGAGGAGCTCGAATGACGTTTCACAATTTTTAGCATTTTCGTGCTTTCCTTCCTTCACGAATCTTGTCCAACTCTTCTCTAGGAGTCCAAAGAGACAGAAAGTCAGACCTGTGAGATGGTCTATAGAAGAAGAGTTCTGGAAAAATGTAAGAATGGGTACCCAAAAGTCCACCTCAATTACTCTTGATTTTATGCTCCTTTTTTAAAATTACCAAGTCCACCTCAATTACTCTTGTTATTATTGGTGTAGGTGGACTTTTGGTATGCTTTAGGCTTAGTTGGAGGACTCGAGTAATATATGAATGACACGTATTCTATAGTCTTTTTTATGTGTCATTTTCTATTGTTATGATACGTAATGCTATGACTATGTAAGGTTTACTATGATTATGTGATGCATGCATGTACTTTCAACATATTATGTCAAGGTATTAACTTTATGCATTTAAGTGAGATCGTTTTCGTTATTTTTTAATTTCACCGTTTCTTTAAAGCTATTTTAAAATTTGAAATAAATTTGGTGAACATTCAAGACCCTAACAACATTTGAATTGAATGGTTTTAAAAAGCTTTCCCTTGTTTCTTCCCAATTTACAATAAAAGAGAGAAGGTGAATGGAGAACCCTCGTTTCTTACGGAAGAGTAAAAGAGTGAAGGAAGTCCAATGCAGGGTTACTCTCATATTCTTTATCTCCAAAGATTCAGGAGCAAACAAAACTACAGAAAGAAGAGAATGAGGTAATCTCAGCTCTTTTACCTCGTTCAAGAAAAGAGCTACTTCACCTATTCAAGCTTAATAATCACGACATGCACGTACGAACGACCTTATTTCTAAATGAAAAGGGGAGAATCAAGAGCATACGTGTTGTAAAGATGCGATTAAATAATTAAGCATATAGAGGCAGTGGAACATAATATTAAAGTAGTGTTGTACATGTGTTTGTGAATTTGATAGCTTATCTTGTTGGAGATTGGGCGTTGTTCCGGGTGTCAATAGCTAAACCAGCTTGGCTAAGCTCAACTTTTGTTCCCCACTTCCATATTCAAATACGATCTCTCTCTTTCTCTCTCTCTCTATTAATAGTAACCCACCTGCGTACTGACATCGCATCGATCTTCAAAACCCCAAACTTTTGTTGTCCTTATGTTTTAAAACACAGAGACGTTTCTGGGTTTCCCACTTCAAAATTTATCATATTAATCTTTCATAGCTTTGTGTTTGATGCACATTTAGCTTGTCCTCTTCCTTGGTTTGTCCTCAAATCTCAAAATATCTAATCCTATTAATATCTACCAACATAATTCATGGAATTAAATAAATAAAAAAGACGGGTTCGATTCAGGTAATAATATATATTTTAATATTTAATATTCTAATAAAGAAGCTTAGTTTCTGGAAAATTGAAATACTTTAAGATTTGTTGCTTTTTCCAAAAAATTGTTCTTGGTTCTTTATTATTTGTTTTGAATAAAAATAATATTTTATGTATATATATGGAAAATGTGAAAATCCATAAATAACATTTTATTATATTCCAATAAAATATATTAAAAAGAAATCAGTTAAAATTTTCATATTTCAAAACATATATAATAGGAAGAAAAATATGTCAGTGAATATTTTGGAAAAATTATTGATAATTAAGAATCATTTGGGTAGTGTGTTATTATTATTCGTTGTAAAACAGTTTTTCTAGTATTTTGTGTGGGTAAAAAATATTTATTTATGTGAATGTTTGATTAATCCACCACACCTAAATGGTGTGAAAGTTATCTTATTTATAATCAAATAAATTACAAGTATATGGAAATAGTAATAAATGGAAATAACAATAAATAGAAAGATACGTACGATAATAAGACAAATATTAGATATTTGTCTTATAATAAAATATCAAATATAATATATATGGCAAACTATAATTTATTACTGAATATTCTTAACAATTTATTTATTTATTATAATCATAACTCATTTTTCAAGGTATAAAAAAAAACATAATATTTTTATTTTTATTTAAAAAACCTTGAAATAAAAGCAAGCAGAAGAATCTCAAAAATTTTATTGAATGAATCTTATTTTCAACCAATTATAAACTTAGATAAATAGATAAATACTCCAAAAATAAATATTTATAACATAAAATTATAAACATACTTCATTTTCTAATCTCAATATGGTTAATAGAATCATATATATTTTTAGATTTATCAATTAAACGGAAGTTGGATTAAAAGTTCTTTAAGAGGGTGTTTAATAATTAGGTTATGGGTATTTCCGTAATTATAGTTCACAAATATCTAGGGGGCAACGTGTCAGAATCCGGAACACCCATGCAGCTATACGTTAATTTGTCTGCGCTGCTTGTGACTATATTATTGAACGTTATTATTAAATAAAAACGGGAGACAAAGCCGAGGAGATTTTTTTTTTTTTTTTTTTTTAATTTAAAAAATAAAAAGCATATGACGTGTCCACCCACGAGGAATAAAATAACACGAAAATATTGCGCGTCTAATCTACGGCCACTCGTGCTTTCGGTTTGCTCCAAACATTTTCCCCTTTTTTTAATATTTATTTTTAAGATTATTAAATATTACACAAAAGAAGGCAATCTGATTTGGTGTGGATTGGAGTTATTTTGATAATAATTTGGATATAAAGTATTTTGAAAGATATGATCTGTTTTTTGCTTAACTTAAGTGAGTATTATTATTCACCAACTTTAGATTAAGTTTTAGTTGTTACATATTTAATCTCCACATTAATAATTGTAGATATAATATTCATAAAATAAAAATACAAATA